AGCATCCCAGGAGTGAGTAATTCATTCTGCCAAAAGAGCTGTGCTACTCAGGAGAAAAAAGGTTAAATACCAGTATTGCTAAAGGTTGACCTACCCTTACATCTTCACTGTTCTGTCATAGTGTTCAACTAGGAATGTCCTATTACTCCTTACTCAATTTATGTGCTTCTGACTGCATTAACTCTCTATAGTTAGTAACAATTCTTGACAGTTCTTCTTCTCTACTTAGCATTATTGAAGTTTCTTTTGTGTATCAAGGGAAGTTTGTTTATTGCTCCTTTCACAATTGATAGTTCACTGGTGCATCTCTCCTCTCCTGCTGCCTGCAGTAGGTTGCCATGCCCATGTGCTGCTCAATGATGCCATCTAAACTACAGTTTAACAAGCATTTGCCATACATTTAAATAGTCAACATGAACAAGTCCTAGAGGATAGAAAATTATGCCCTATACAAATACAAGATATGCTAAAAGCTTGAACTCACTAATTCTCACTAAATGTTTTCTCTATTGAGTAAGGTCTTCAAGTTTTTAACAACACACTTGCTTATTATAGTTGTAATTCAAATGCCCTTGATTGGAACCTTAATAGACCTTTCTTCTTAGGTTTGTTTTGCTTCCCTGGGGCTTGTTTTTAAAGTACAAAATGGCAGTCAAACATGTAAGTAGTTAGAGATGACATGATGAGTACATAGACAGGAAAGAATCCTCCTTTGCTCCAATTTCTGAAAATTGAGCTCTAGAGATATAAGTAACCTTCTTGATTTCTTCCTTCTTCCCATTTTTCAATCTTTGTTCTCTCTGTCAAAACAACACTACTTTTTGAAGCTATACCATTGAGCAACTGATTATTATCCATGTACAGACGTGCAAAAAGTGGAAATAAAACTCAGCAATGAAATCACACTAAGGAAAATAGATACTTCCCTTTCTTTAACACATGCAGGCAACATTTAACATACTGAGCATACAGCAGTCACACAGAAAGAGTGAAAGTAACATGAGAAAACTCCAGTGTGAAGTTTTTGAGCACTGTAGCTCTCATAAAGTTGCAAGTAGTCAGTCCTTAAACTGGGTAATACTTTAATATTACTATTCAAAAGAAGAGTCTTCTTTTAAGGCTGTAGGCTCGAGACACTTGCTCGAAGGAAGGAAGGAAGGAAGGAAGAAGGAAGGAAGGAAGGAAGGAAGGACTTCTTAATGCCTAAGGGGAGTTTTTGGCCCATATTTCCAAGCCAATTTACAGACCAAGTGAGCAATCAACAGATTGACAGCTGCAGCCTCTGGGGCAACAGCCTGGCTAGTGGACTATGTGTCTAATCAATGAAGAACTCTGGGAGGTGCAAGTGGAGGTTTTGAGTGATAATGGGAATAATGAAACTGCCCAGAAGGTGTGACAAATAAGCCCTGAATATTGAGATACACCAAGGCATAGCTACACCTTTACTGGGAGAGTTGCCTCAATGAGTGTCTGTGCATCACCGGCACAACTAGGAAGTTGCTGATTTTGCAGACATTGCTTCCTCAGCTTGATAAGTTAATATATATTGTTTAACATGATAATGTAGCAAGCTGTTGTTTTGTGGTTTGAAAGCCAGCTGCATTTGATTGATGCCAGGATTGGAAGTATTTATAAAATGACACTGAATTAGATGTAGTCAGTTTATGGGACTAGGGAAATGAATCTTTTATGAAGAATAAAACTTTATGATGATGGAGGAATACTGAGGAAGTTTGCATCTTGCATGAAACTCTTTTGGTCCAAATGGTGTTGCAGAGCTTTTCAAAATATACATTTGGATCACAATATTTTTAGGAAGGAAATCTCTGTATAAACATTTTCCTTTGTAGTGGTCCAATCCCAACTGTGTGGTCATGTGTGTTCTCTGTGGACACTTCAACTAGGGTAGGAAAGTTCTTCCCTGGAGGTGTAGGTATTGGACTTCTCCAAAGGGTACCTGGTATATATTTTAGCTGCTGGTTTAAAGCTGTTGTGGTTTTTGAAGCATCAGCCACAAATGTGCAAGCACATAGGTGATGTTTAAAGAGTTTTCTGTATTGATGTTCCTGAACAGGAAACAGATACAACCTTAGACTGCACCAATACATAATGAATCTAAAGACAACTCCAAATCTTATGTGCGTTTTTACATCTGTTATGTGAACTTGTGAGAATAGAATAACCTTTACTTAAATGTAAATGCCACTTTGATGGTAACCAGAAACCAGTATCTCAAAACTTTTGACAGAAGCAGCATAGAAAAAAAGGTGGATCAAATTCTCTACAGCTTTTCCTCCTGGAATTGGCAACTCTATGCAAAAGGAATGTAAAATTCTGCTCATCTGACTTGCTGGAATTTCTTATCTGTATGCACCAAAGGAATGATTGCATGGAACAAGATAATGTCTAGTGAGTTGAAAGGTTAAAGAACTGCAGCTGGCAAATCAGAATCAGATTCAGCCATTGTATTAAGCCAGTTCTGTGCCAAAGTAACGAGAGATTTGGGGATTTACATCAGCTCTTAAAATTTACATGTGCCTTCCACAGTCTTATCATCAGAAATATTTCAGCAGAACTATCTAGGTCAACTGCATAAATAGGATTTCTACTTGAGTATATGTCATAATCAGTTTCTAAATCTCTTCTGAGCATCAACTCTTCTAATAGATTAATAACAATAGCAACTGTGTATTAATTTAAAATGTTGTCTAATGTATTTAAATATTAAAATGCAGTTTTCAGGAAAGCATTGTGCACTGAAATCCATTTAATTTCACTTGTACTTGGGCATTCTCTAAGATCTCTTGAAGATTTGCTTTAATTCTTATTTATATCACTGAAGTCTTGTGACTAGGAAACCTTTGTGAAACTATCTAATATTAATACAAAAAGTCTTCTCCAAATGAGATAACTGTCTAAAAAATAGCACTTTGTGTTGCACTTGTGAGAAGAGGGTGAATCTTCATTCTTCAAAACAGAAAGCTGTTCTTTTCCTCTTTTCTTCTGAAAAAGCCTCAAACAAAGTAGGTGAAAATATCAGGTCTGGGATCATCTTGTAATACTGAAAAACATGGCATGGTATCCAGTGGTAAGCTTCTTTTTGAGCTGTCTGACCTTTAATCACTGGTGAATAAAACCAACATGCTGTCAGATCTCTGTTATTTTTCTCAAGGGGGTAACTCTGCCTGAAGTAGCAATGAAGCAAAACCTTTGAGAGCTTATATTCAAGGTCACTACAAGAAAAGGCAACACTTTGTACTCTGGGAAGTACAACTAAAGAAAAAAAGAAATTAATCTAAACAAGGCAGTTGTGTTTGTTTAACAGTGGGCCGGGCAGTTGTGATATCAGCCTAGAAATGAAGCTGACTTTGGTTTTATTTTTACCACAATATTTCATTTCCATTGGATTTTTAACTTCAAGACCTTCACAAAGAACATGAACTCTCTGTGTATTGTTGTACATGAATGATATATATTTCTGTTTTGCAGGTATTTCCAATCTAATGTCTTAGGCCATGTCATATCAGAAGGTTTTAATTACTTGTAGCTATTTAACCGCAGAAGTCTATGTGGATACTGAGAACAGATCATATTGTCTTAGAGAACTGTTAAGAAAAGCAAATGTTGTATTTAAATTTTTTTCATCAAGATATTTAAATCAATACTTGACCACTGAAAGTCTATGGGGGGAAAGAAAGAATGGCCCATCACACAGGAATTAATCTTTAAGAATTGTAACTATCATTGACATTCTGATTCACACATGAGATAATATGATGTCAAGGCTAAGCTGCTTCAATGTAAATTCATGCAATTGGATAAATTGTTTCAGTTGGGATTTTTAGGTCAAAGAATGGATACTTTCCTAGATTCTTTATTTGTATAAAGTTTGCTAATGTCTTTTACATTAATTTGTTACTTAACTTTGATTCACCATTTTTTTGTTGATTTGATCATGACTTTTTTGTTGTTTGGTAGGATTTTATTCTCTCTTCAGCTCCATATTTCCAGAAATATTTCAGTTTTGATGTGATATGTTGTTTAGATAGATTTATTTTTTTAAATAATGCCTACGTTTACAATTACAAATGAACTGATGAAGAAATCATTATGGTCTAGGGGTGAATATCTCATGGTTCAGCCCAGGTGTTTAATTCCATCCTTTCTTTGGTTCTCAATATACTGTACAAAACAGATAAAATGCTATGACAGAATTTTGCAGACTGTGCCAGGCCCTGATGTGGCTGTCTGAGGGAGAGAAAAAGACTTGATCCTGTGCTGCAGGAGCATGTGTTCCACTAGCTGAGTATGGAATTGGCAGCAGCTCAGTCCTCTCTCTATTAACTATGGTATAGAAACAGAGGGAGTTTTTTCCTCTGTACAGCATTTAGGAATCTGCAGGCAACAGCATCTGCCTTATTGCATTCTACAGCAGAACTGTGAGCTGTAGGAATTTTGTGTTAAAAAACTGGAAGGGCAGTGGGGCAAGAGAGGAGGGGAGTTTTTATGGATAAACCCATAAATTTGTACAAACTGAAATTAGAGTAATATAGGCTTTAATAACTAAAAAAAATATTTCTTACTGACAGAAATTTTGTCCAAGAAATTTTGAAACTGCAAGAGTTACAGTGCAAATAGAGAACTTTCTCCTATTTCAGCATTCATCTTCATCATGAACAGCTGTAGAGTTTCTAACTGCAGAATTTAAAGTGAAAAAGATACACCTGTAGTTCATTTAGTGAAATGCAATTAATATAGGTGGCAACAAAACATACAGATATGGGGAATTTCTGTTAGAGTCACACATCTGCTACACACCCGAAGCACTAATCCTATGTTGGCTCAGTAGCAAGTAAAAATAATAAGAATACAAATGCAACCTAAATATCAGGTGGACCTACTTAGTGGTCTTGATGAGATGATTATATATTGAACCCACCTGAAGGGAGGCAGCAGATTCTTGCTAACGGCTTTGTGTTGTGTGTCTACCTTGCCCTCAGGAACCACAGTGATGCGTATGACGGCGTTTGATGCCGACGATGCGAGCACAGACAATGCTCTTCTGCGGTACAACATCCTCAAACAGACACCTACCAAACCCTCTCCAAATATGTTCTACATTGACCCAGAAAAGGGAGATATTGTGACAGTGGTGTCACCTGTGCTGTTGGACCGTGAGGTAGGTGAACACTTTCCTATCACCGGTTTCACATTTTAGTGTTTCTGCCTATGATCTTCTTCTAGGATGTGGAAAGAACTTCAGACTGTTCTGGGGATTGGGATTCAGATACTCAACTTTGAGGGGTTTTTTAAGAGTTTTGTTTATTTCTTATTTGGACCTGAAAAGTTCTGTGCTCTGATCAATGTTTATAAATCTAGTTGTTCATAATTTCTGGACAAGGCATTTACCGTTGTATTGTGAGAGAAGAGATCTCAGGAATAAGTGGAATTCAACTTAGAATTACTACTTGACCACTCAGAAGTAAAAATACTCCAAACCTAATTGTGCACATAGCTTGCTCTGAGGTTGTTACAGTTTGATGCTTTAAATACTTTTCTAGAATTTTCTTGTTATGAGGGGATTTAATGGACTAGTTAACATGATACCTCATAGGCAAAAAGTGAAAATACAAAAAGGAATAGTAAAGGGAGAGGATGTCTGTATGTGCTTTTAAAGTGAATTACCATAGTGCCAAAATCTATGTTTTTTTATTGATCATCAATATTATGAAGCATAAACTGATATCAAAGAATGCTTAGTTATGACCACTTAATGTTCGGAAGATAATAAAGTAGAACCAGTCTGTTAATATAAAGGTTTAGTTATCAGAATGTATGAGATCTGGGCTGCAATAGAATGAAGAGACTAAAGAGTTACTCTATAAATCACAATTTTTATTAATTAAGTAGCCCTGGGTGCTCTTAGATTCCTGGAGATAACTAAATGCTTTTCTTGTAGACTCTTTCATGTATGTTCTGAGTCACTGAACTTGGCCTCTAAATTGGTTAGATTCAGGACTGCCCAATCTCATTATTCAACACATTATTTCTCATGTTATCTAGATGAAAATGTTGCCCCTACCAATTCCCATCTCAGATGGGTAGTTTTTCTACAGGCTTTACCAACAGCAAACATTTAGTGGGTAAGTCAGGCACAGATTCCAGACACACAGTGCAGCAACACTAGGGTCTGAGGCTGCAGGTCTGTGGTTTGAAGTTTACAGAGATCCTAATGTTTTCATACTTGGAAGTGTGGGGGTAGAATCATGCCCAAGGTTTACACAATCACTGCTTGTTTGTCCTCAAGTTTCCCTTCTAAATTCATTGTTTCTGTTAAAAGCTTTCTACTGTTTTCTAAAGTCTATTTTAGGTATTTTTATTCTGAATAGATAACCATTCCCCAGATTAAAGCAATTTACTCAAAATTAGCAAATCAATGGAAGGGAATGAACATGTCTGCTTCTCCTAGTATCTTCCAAAGGTCACTGGTGATTCATGGCATAATGATGCTGTCTCCAAGCACAAAACCAGGCCTCAATCGAATGGGTGTTATGGTGGGGCACTATATCCTGGAAGCAAGATCTGAAGTCCTCATGATTTTTAATAATAGTGGATTCAATACCTTTGCTTTGAAGGTGACATGACAAGCTGTGGTCTTGATGAAACTGCAAAGTAATTTCTGTTGTTGCTGCAAGTGCTGTGTGTTTTATGAGCAAAAATGTAGGTCTATGTTCAGTTTTAACACTAAACCCAAGCATTATCTCCAGTTGTAATCCACTCTCCTATTGTCTTGTGAGGGGAAAGGCTTGAGAAAGAGATCTTCTCCATTTCTTCACAAGATGCTCTGTGCTCTCTGTCATCTTTGTGGGTTCAGCCTCTTCTCCCCTTTCCTGCTTATGTAAGTTTTGTATAGAAATTGGTAGTCACTTCTTTTTCAGATATGCTGTTAGTTCTGTGGTCGAAGTTGTATAACTTCTACTTTGAACCATAATAGCAATTTTTAGGGACAAGCAGCCTAATAATACTATTCTGAAAAAATCTGGGTACCAATATAATCTTGATGCTATATAAATAACTCTTATGTATTTCTGTGTAACTCCTGAAATTGAATGATTATAAAAGAATTGTCTGCCTCAGGTGGAGAGAGACAGGAGTAGCACCTGGAGGAGGAAATGTCTGTCTAATTTCCTCCTTAGGGAATAAAGTGTCTGCAAATCACCAGGCTTGAATAAGTGACTTTCAGGAAAGGTGTTGGGCCAGAGGGAGTGCCATGTGCCAGCCCTCTGCAGGATAGCAGCTGGTCGGAGTGCCTTTTTGTTTGTCAACCTTTGTAAATCTTAAATGTTTTGGCTATTTATCACAATCTTCCATGAAATGTGTTGTAGGAACATGAGAGAAGGGAATCTTCTTTCCCCTGAAAGCCTTGCTTAGTAAGTGTGTAACATCAGGGGACAAAAGATGAAGATAGAAGCACAGGTAGAGGACAAAGCCCTCATGAAACAGTAATTGTGACCAGGAGACAGGAATGTTTTTACGTCCTCAGTCATTCTTGGCATCTCAGTGAGGAATGTGTTATAGCAGACATACCCAGGGAACAACAAGTCTTTTCATCCTGTTTTCCATGACTTGGAAAAGAGAATGGATGTTGAACAGCTCAGCTGATTCTGTTTGCTGACTGGGATTTGAGTCAGCAGCCTCTGCAGGTAACTGGTTGTAGCTCAGGAAGGGACACACAGGATTTAGACAGGGACTGGGGGGAAGGTGAGTTTCTGCATCCAGAAACTCCAAGTGTTTGTCCTAGTGAACTTCATTATTCATAACTACCAATTCAAATCAGCACCTTCTCCTAGGTTTTGCTTAAACTTTTACTTAAACTTTTAATCAATTATTTGTGATTGTAGGTGTGCTCTTTAAAACTGTATTAGCCCCAGATGCTAATTAAAGAGCTGAATTAATGTAAAAATTTCTCTAGGATGGGCATGGAGAAAGGAGAAAACTATTTCACATTATTAATTTGTATATACACCAGAGATTTGCATGAACGCTTTTAAAAATGTTAAAACACTGATTAAAATTACTCCTGTTTTCCATCTCTCCAAGTTTTATCACTGTTGGATCCTGATGCTTTTGGGAAACTCTGCAATGCATTTAAGACAAATTAATAGAAGAGAAATTGTGTTGGTGGTTGGTTTGGGTTTGGGTTTTTTTGTTTGTTTGTTTGGGGTGTTCTGGGGTTTTTTTGTGGTTTTTTTTTTTTTTAAATTTTAAGTATACTTTATTTCATGTTTATGCATCAGAGGGAGCTGGAGACTGAGGGTTTTGTCCAGTGGAAGATACTGAGATGTGGAGATGGAAAACATCTGGCAGGTTTTTCACATACTGCATAGTCTATACTGTTTTTCCATGCTTTAACATTTTCAGATAAGTAGCTACGGCATAGCCTAGAAATTCTTGTTCCAGTGCAAAGAAACAAAATACAGGTCTTTACCCTAAAGTAAAATGAAATTTGACCATCTAGAGAACTCAGTTTTTATATCCAATTGAGTGTATGTGGGAGAATCTTAACATGCATAAGTAAACATTCAGGTTAATGATTTTAAGAGATGAAAAAGAAACCTTTATTTTTTGGACAATACTTTAGAAATAAAAGTAGACACTTAAAGCATAATTTAGAAGGAAAAAGGAAAGAATTAGCTTGGGTTTGCTCAACTTCAGCTATGCATCTGCTTTTCTTTTAGCTACACAGGATCAGCTCAAAATGAAGACAATTTTGTTAAATTCCTACAAGCCTTCAGAATTTCTGTCTCTGTGACTGCCATTTATTAGATTTGTTGCTAAATGGAGAGTATGGAAATGGGAATGCTCCCTGGCAGTAATTGATTGGGTGTTTGATGTAGCATGGATGGGTGATGGTGTGTGTGTGCTTTGGAGCTATTTCTGTACTGTAGTATCACCTACAAAAACATTAAGCAAAAAAAGTCATTCTCTCCAGTATACAGCAAAAGGGTGTGGAGGAACCCCACAGATTCCATCCAGCAGAGAGCTTCATGCCTCCAAGGAAACACTTTGCACTGTGCAGGATTCGTGTTTATATACCAGTGTATTTTTATTTATAAATATTCTTAGATTCAAAATTGTTTCCAAAAGTGCCTGATCCTGGGGGTATAAAGCAAAACTCAGATATTTTCTCAAAGAACATCCATTTTCATTTTCAGAAGGCAGCTAAGGACACAGTTTTGAAGATTAATGTGGGGGTTTTTATCTTGTGGGAGTTAGGCATCCTTGAATGTGTCAGTAATAAAGATTGAAGAGTGTTAGGGGGCAAATTATACCTCCAGGTATCCGTTGGAGAATACATTTTGATTCATAAATTCAGAGGAGAAGGATGCCCTCCATCAAAGTGTATGGTC